CTGCTGTGGTTTCCCTTCATAATGGCCTCTCTAATTGACATCCTCTGATGCCTCCCTTCACCATCCTGATTTTGCCTTGCCCAGGCCCCGGAGACTCACCCCTTTCCCCCATTAAGTTCTCTGTGAACCCCCACCTGTCTAACGCTAGCCGGATTAGTGGAGGGAAGCAGGAGGGTGACTTTTCGTGCCCCAGGGGGCAGACATTTGGCTCAGCTTGCTGTCGGTGGTTGGCGTTTCCAGCCAGACCTTCTACCCACGCATCTGGACAAAGCCTTGCCTACAGAGGGACCAGCATACCACTGCGGGCCACATGTGGCCGGGGGGCTTGGCAGAGTGAAGGGCTTATCTCTTCTCCCCATGACTTCAGTTTCCCTTCTGTAGAATGGGATAATAGTATCCCTACCGCAAAGGTTATGATGAGCCAACGTGCCTGGCCCTGTGTTAAAAATTTAAATTTCTACTGGATGACACTGATCTAGAATATGATCCCATTTTAAAATAAAGTACATCGCCGGGCATGGTGGCTCATGCCTGTAATCCCAGCACTTTGGGAGGCCAAGGTGGGCGGATCACCTGAAGTCAGGAGTTCAAGACCAGCCTGGGCAACATGGCAAAACCCTGTCTCTACCAAAAATATAAAAAATTAGGCAGGCGTGGTGGCGTGCGTCTGTAGTCCCAAATACTCTGAAGGCTGAGGCAGGAGAATCGCTTGAACTGGGGAGGTAGGTGATGCAGTGAGCTGAGATCGCACCACTGCACTGTCACGCACTGGGTGACAGAGACTTTGTCTCAAAAAAAAAAAAATTAAATGCATATGCAAAACACAGACGTACACACCAGCACACACTCACAGACCCCCTCACATGTGTCCACACACTCAAATATTTTGCACACATGTACCCCACAGAGAGACAGGTGCACACAAATACATACATGCACACAGGCATGCACTTTTACCACGACTGTGTACTCCCAGTTCCACGCACGCACACACACACATGCACAGATGATCCCAGTTTGTACCAATGTTATATTCACACTTTACTCTCAACTACTGACACACACACTCCCCGACACGCACATGCTCCGTACTCACGTCTCACGTGGCTACAGAGCCACAGGACACAAAGCCACACTCACACCCACCAGGTGTGGGCCCCACATCCCTCCACCCTCTTCTTCTCACCCCCAATGCAGGCCAGGACCAGCACACAGAGGCACAGGGCAGGCAGGTCCTGGAGCCTATTTCTGAGGAGGGACATTTCTGGGGGTTCCGTGCCTCTGTCCCTCTGTGCTCAACTCTGTGGGCCGGGGGAGGGGAGGCTGCACAGAGCAGGGCCCTCCTCCGGCCACCTCCCCACTTGGCAGAGACTTCAAAGAGCCGGGCCCAGGTGACAGTGGCAATCAGAGGTCATGCCTCTGTGGGCCTCCCTCCTTCCCACCCTCCCACACTGTGCCCTGAGAGAAGACAGAGGCTCTTGAGCCTCCTGCACTGAAGCAGGTTCAAATCCTGTCTCCACCTCCCATGACAGCCTCATTTGTTGGCCTCAGTTTCCTCCTCTATAAAGTGCGAGACATAGTACATATTTCAGGATATTACTTGAACAAATACAAAGAAAGGCACAGTGGCTCATGCCTGTAATCCCAACACTTTGGGAGGCCGAGGTAGGCGGATCATATGAGGCCAGAAGTTTGAGACTAGCCTGGCCAACACGGTGAAACCCTGTCTCTACTAAAAATACAAAAATTAGCCAGACATAGTGACACGCGCCTGTAATCCCAGCTACTCGGGAGACTGAGGCAGGAGAATCGCTTGAACCCGGGAGGTGAAGGCTACAGTGAGCCACGATCACACCATTGCACTTCAGCCTGGGTGACAAAAAGACTCTGTCTCAAAACAAAACAAAACAAAACAAAAACAAAGAAAGCTCTTACCATGGAGCCTGGCATTATAGGTGCTCAAAGATCATCGCTGTTATTATTATTTTGTGTCTAATTTCTCCTAGCCACTGGGCTGCAGGGCCAGGCTTGTGGTAGGGCCTCAACAGGGCCTAAGGGATGATGGCAGGAAATAGCAACACAGTCTCATGTCTCCAGCCTCTGTTTCTTTCCGGGTAGGGTGGAACCCGATCACCTCCACGCATTCCTTGAGTTCTCAATTCCAGCTCTTTCTCCTCCAGGTGACTCTGGCTTCAGACAGACCTGGGCTTCGAATCCCCCACTCCTTCACCGCATGACCTGGGCAAATACGTTTTCTTTTCCGGGGCTCAATTTGTTCAACTGTAACATGGGGTTGATAGGGAGCACCTGCCTCCCAGCGTCCTCATGCAGGAGGGCTGAGGCCCATGCAGGAGAGCTGCAGGTGCACATAGTAGGAGGTCATCAACATCAGGTCCCAGGCCAGGGCGGTGGCTCCCACCTGAAATCCCAGCACTTTGGGAGGCTGAGGCAGGTGGATCAGTTGAGGCCAGGAGTTCAAGACCAGCCTGGGAAACATAGTGAAACCTGGTCTCTACTAAAAATACAAAAATTAGCCAGGTGTGGTGGTGCATGCCTATAATCCCAGCTACTCAGTGGGGGGCAATGGAGTGAGACCTTGTCTCAAAAACAAAACAACATTAACAACAACAAAAACCAACAAAGGCCAGGTGTGGTGACTCATACCTGTAATCCCAGCACTTTGGGAGGCCAAGGCGGGTGGATCATGAGGTTAGGAGATCGAGACTATCATGGCCAACATAGTGAAACCCCGTCTCTACTAAAAATACAAAAATTAGCTGGGTATGGCGGCGTGTGCCTGTAGTTCCAGCTACTCAGGAGGCTGAGGCAGGAGAATCGCTTCAACCTGGGAGGCGAAGATTGCAGTGAGCTGAGATTGTGCCACTGCACTCCAGCCTGGGCGATAGAGTGAGAGTCTGTCTAAAAAAAAAAAAACAAAAAACAAAAACCCACATCAGGCCAGAAATAGTGCCAGACATAGAACATTTTTCTCTTGACGG